GAGTAGACTGGCTGAGGCAACCTGGGAGTGTGAGCAATAGAAGCAATTAAAAGGTATGAGCAAGATGGTCGAGGGCAAAATTCTCGTAACTTTTCCTGGAGTTAAATGTTTCCTCAAATAAGAGCTATCATGGAATCAGGTAAATAGAAAACTTGTAAATTAGGATGCCATATCCATCTGTGGGTTTTCCAATTGGGGGACTAATATGAATTAGAGATTGTACAGTTTTGACATAGAAGCACATTCTTATGGAATATGAGACTCTGATTCACTTGCTATAGAAGAATAATATGATTATATAGACGGAAACAAATGTAGGCATGTAGCCACTTGCATATCAGCTCTCTGCAGAATCGATAATCGCACGCTCACACAACAACAGCCCCAATGAAGGACTCAATCTTTGATGTAAATACTGTCCATTAATTTAGGTGTATGCGAACTTTGTATAGGCGAAAGCATTAATCAGGAATAATAAACGTATAACACTTAAGGAATACACATTTTTGTTAGTAAAATACACAATCATGAGGTCAAAGTAATCATACTTACCTTATGATAATACAATAAATGGCACTGCTGCATCAATATAATGGCAATAACCGCCCATACATTCTCTGTAGGTAGGCGCAATGAGGTTCCGCCGATTAAAGTAATTATATGCATAATGAATTCACCTAGTCATACATTATTTCATCCCCTATTCATTATTTAAACCCCATAGGTGTAAATTGGGGATCAAAGCAAACCGATTTCATGAAGGACAAAGCCATGATAATAAGGTCACCTTAGCGAGAGCTGCATCCTATTTACTCTATATAGGGTAGAACACAAGAAAAATGTAAAGCAAAAAAGCAATTAGGACAGAGTTAACATTGAAATATGGAATCGAAGCAAAAAACGAAAAAAATCAAGCAAAGGGTAAATGAAAAAAAGGGAAGAGGCAACAGGCATATACATCGAACACCAAAGGATGTAAACAGTGGAGTGGATATAAGATAAAATTAAGAGAGAACGAAATAGAAAGCAGAAGAGTGGAAAAAAGCCTAATTGCCACAGAATTCATCGAAAAAAAAATGCTCGGCATCACAATAATATCGATGTAGGTATTATAAAAGTCCAATTAAAGCCTTAGATGGAAACATGGAAGGGAGGAAAGAGAAAACGCCCTTGGCTCATATAATTTAATAGTGTGACTATGCTTATAAATGAAGAGTTGGGTTGGGTATGGTCCTAATAGAAGCAAACAAAGAGCACTATGGAGAAGGATGATCAGTCTGCCAATATCGTATTGGAGAGTTCATGGAAAAAACAAATCCAAGAGTCGAGATAAAATGGATGTATCAAAAAGTTAGATCAATATGGGGCACTGTAAGATGTGATAATATCCCGCCGAAAACAAGAGTTGCCTGAACAGGCAAATCAGAAAGTCAATCTATAAATAAATAAAAACAATGACGGAGTGCAAGCATTCATGAAAATTGCGGTACAGGTATAAAGGGAAAGGACTGGTAGAAAACAATGAATTGTAATTTTATACAGCCGTCAGGCACATTGCAGCAGGGGGTCAACGCGTTAATCACTGTACAGGGGAAAGATAGAAGATAGGCATCGCCTTTGAATCTAACTAGAACTACACGAAACTAAGGCCTACTCAATAGGACCAAACTAGATTGTAGAAAAAATGCATATTCTACCTAGATGGCATAAGCGAGGCCAACAGTAGTGACCAGCCGAAGCGATTACAATCAGATCGGCCTCTAAACATCTTTGCCATCCCATGGCAGTCTGTAGTTAGAAGTGTGGGCGCAGATGAAACATACCTAAATACCATTGTGTAAGCAAGCCCACACATGACGAGGTAGTGATGGTGAAAGTAAAAAGAAGTACTTTTTAATGATCAGGTTTGGCAGGGATAAAGTTTTAGCTTAGGCAGTAGTGAGGACAAATAGGATCCTGAAATAATGAAAAATAAATCGTCCTCATGAAACGTTTAGAAATAGTGCAAAATAACAGATGCGTTTATATCAGCAATTAACGATGATAAAGAATAAAAATAAAGAAAATGGAATGGCCGATCTTTAGCCACTTACCTCGTCCTGGTGAAATAGAACACCCAAATATAGTAATAGGGCAGGTAAAGTGTTATGCATGTCAACAATTTGATTGCTCACAAGAGACAATCAGGGCCTAGGATTAAATGAAAAGGAGAGAATGTGCCAGGCGGAAACTGAATATGAACTAAAAATTAAGGATGCATCCTATAAAGTATCAAGGTCTAAGCTAGTGAGGAGGCTATGCAAGCCCAAAAAAGGCATTCAAAAAAGGACATGAAATTACCTAAATTGAAAGCAGAAGGGAGAAAAAACTAGAAAAAAACAATATGAAGTCAGCTCTGGAGGATGTATAGGTGCCGTAAACGTTAAAATTGTATTAAGTCGAATCGGCATAATCTGGCCCGTTATGGTCCACACGTAGTCGAAGGCCAGAAGTTGAAAAAAAGATAATAATCACCAGGGTAAGGGTATGAGAATTTGGCAACGAAAGTAATAAACACACATGCACATGCACACGCAAACACACATACACACGAATACATATGCATATGCTTACAAATAGAGTGCGCAAGCTAGGAAGAAAATGGTAATGGTGGAAGAGAAAGACTAGAAAAATAAAGAAATAAGATTCACTGATGGACAATGGATGCGCGCAGGCATTGGTTACACTGCGTCAGGATTTCAAAGGAAACTGCTAGCTTCTGGGGCGTCAAAAGTGTGTTGATGTCCTAGGCGTGAATGTTGGAACTGGCCAATTTGTTGGGTTAATTGCTTCTGCTGTTGCTGGTATCCGGCCGGGTCATTAGGCATGCCACGTGTCAATGCAAAATTCGACTCCAGTATGCCAACCCGAGGCAGAGGGCCAATTACACCGGAGATACTCCCACGATCCTCAGTCCCAGCATTGTCATGCTGATCAATAGTAGTGCACATGGAACTGATTGTTGTGGCCTCGACCAGAGTGGGTTGCACAGTACGATTGAAGGGGTTAACAAATACTCCACCCGGTTGATGGGGATATGAGTGAGGCGGGAGAACCGGTACCGAGCTAATCGTGGTTACATCGGACTTGGCAGAAGACTGATGCGACAGAGTTTGAGGATAGCGAATATTCGGTTGCATCTGCTGATGAAGATGATGCTGAGCCTGAGACTGATGGTGTTGAGAATGAGGGTGGTGCTGATGGTGCTGATGATGGTATTGGAGATAGTGCGAATGATGCGCCCGCTTTGCCTCCAAAGTGTCAGCACTTATTTCGGCTGCAGCACTCATGCTCTCTGAATGGCATGAAGCAGGATAGTATGCTTGAGATCGAATCAGGCCCCTGGGTTGTCCAGTTACTAGCTCCGAGATTTCCTCGCAGCCAGAAAAATACCCTGAAAGGCGATAGTTTTCTTGATGGATTTTCGGAGTCTGATGCTGTTGTTGGGCGCGGTGGCGATGATGGTGGTGACGGTGTTGATGTGGTGGCGGGGATGGTGGAGAAGAGGCAATCGCATTCAGATGAGAATCTGTGGCAAGCGTTTGTGGTGGAGAATGGGCGCGACTCCGAGGCTCGGCCTGTGTTGCCGTTTTTCCATTTATTGAAATAGATGATACTTGCCCAGTTAGAGAGGCCATGTGGCGAGACATTGCTGCCACCTCGCCAGAAATTGCGGGCCTGGTCAGTTTTGGTTCTGTGCAAGGAGATGATGCAATGACGACTTGAGGATTAGGTGGAGTCAGGATTCCATGAGGTGTATATAAGTGTCCAGTCGAGGAAAGTGAGGCACGTGGTCGGTAATAAAGGCCACCAACATTATCACTGCTCGGGATGACCGCGTCGACGACCGTCGACGCTAGAGCCTCGGGCAGACTTGCTTTGGGGGAAGAAATTAGTCCAGATGATCGAGTGACGCAATCTGCAGAAGAAGAGAAACCGACGGGTGTCGCCTCGTAGTTCATGCTTGCCTCATTCCTCTTTGATTGCCCATGGACAATGGAGCGCGGTGGAGGCCTCGGGGGCGTGAATATTGGACTGTCGAGGGTAGGAGGGGCAGATGAATCGACTTCAACAGGACTAGGGAGAAATGGAGGTGCTGGGCATTGAGTAGGAGTAGGAGTTGGCTCAGAGCTAACCGAGTTGGAGACTGTAGTCGAGAGGGAGGCGATTGTAGTCAGATCTCTCGCTGCAGTCATCGAACTAACTGCTGTTGTTGTAGGCCATTTACCATAAGGTGGGGCGTCAGGTGACTGAGCGTAGCTAGGAGGTAATCCGAAGTCCACAGAATGAGTGAGATTAGCGAAAGGCTCGCCGCGAAGTGTTGAAGCACTGGTCACTGGACCATCAGTCGAGACGGCAATGGGCTAAATAAAATACAGTGGAGCAAACGATGAATGAGTAGTAAATAAGGAACACAAGTGTAAGCACTGGTAAATAAAGCAAACAATTCAATTGATATCCAAAGATAATCTTTCAAAAAGGGTGAATCTTTTGGCTGCAAAACAGAGACTAAAAGCTAAGCGGTTAGAGTACCAGTAAACCAGATGTATCGGATGTGTTCATCCTGTTTCGTTATAGGAAAATTCAATAACCATTCCTTCATGGCCTTAAACGAAATAGGATGAACACATGTCATATATCATTACTAGTCTGTAAATTGATTCTAACCAAAAAGATGATGATGGTGTTAAGGCTAGTAACATAGATGAGATGGATTTAGGTTGAAATGATGATACCTAAGATCGTTGTTGATTTTTTTTCAGCTGGATGGAAAGCAGAGACTATAAATATATTTTTTGACTAATTTACACCCATGGGAATAATTCAGTGATTAAAATCTTGAATAATTGATTAAATACTGCTTTTGTAGCACCATTAGAACTACTCTGCGATACTGAGGTCTGTTAATAGTCGCAAAAGACGATTACTGGCTCACCTATACGAATTCTATGGCTTGAGACATTGAAAATACGATGGAATATAAGGTGAAATCTGTCAAGTTATATCAGTGTTCTTCAATATGAACTTATAGATTAGATAAATGTTTCGCAAATTTTAAAAAAATCTTATAACCAAAGGGTTCTTATAGATGGGGAATATACTTAAGAGGCTCTTTATGCTGTCCTCATAGATAAAGCCTTAAAGAAAATTAATTGTTATTTGCAGGGCAGCAAAACAGACTTTATCAAAAAAATAGGATATCTTTACAGTGTCACACCCATAGTTCATTGAGAAAATTAAAGTTTCGGCCTGTAAGATATGCATAGAGTATATTCAATTTAAAATCTGCTATTTCTAAAATTGTCATAAGAAGCAAAGAAGGAGGCCCAAAATCTAATATCCTTGGGAAAAATTTAAATTGGTCTTAAAACTATATCTAAGATTACGAACAGTCCAAAGTCTCTTTCAAATCATTTAAAGTTCGTTAAACGACTACTTTTGAAGAAGTCAGGATCCGAGTATGTAAATAAAATAAGATAAACCTTATTATACAAAAAAACTTAAAAGAGGCGTTGTCAACACCACATTCTAGCTTGATGGACCCTCAAAATAATAGAAAAGCTGAAAGCCAAACCGCAACAAATCTCAAGATATAGGAACCATGTCACGGATTATCTTTGACTTATTAACTATCTCCCTGATAGGAAACACGAGTTTATAAAAAATAAAAGTTGTTTTAATAAGGGAGAAGAAAACAGATTCTGGAAAGGGAGGAACAGTAAATAGTAAGGCAATACAAAACAAAGTAATCCAAATTAGTTATGCTGAACAGTGGCCCATTATGCCATACTTCACCTAAAGTGTTTTTATCTTTTTGTTTTCTATTTTTTACAATTACTGCTATTCTTTGCTTCACTCATTTTCCTCCTAATTTAAAAAAAATAGCATCTATATAAAAGACAACTTCTCAAATAAGGGATAGTCGGCAAAAAACTGACTCAAAGTACCAAAATATATACTAATGTATTGCTTTCACGCTCTTAAAATATACTGGAGGAACAGTATATAAAATCAAGATTGATGTGCAATAGAAAGCCCCAAGTCAAGCAAAGGCCCACCTGCCAGGATGAGGGCACCAAAAGAACAAGCTCATGCCAGGGCTGTCCCGTGGCTGCGGCATGAACAACTGGAGGTAATGTTGATGCCAAAGGAGGTGGCTGCTGGGGTATTGTTGGACAGATGTGGTTCTTATAAGGGAAGTAGGGTTCAGTCGAGCGTACACCTGTCAATGCGGGAGGGCGAGCAGAATCAGTTGCAGAAGTTGAGGCAGCCAGACCAGGCGCAGAGGCGCAAAGAGGCGAAAGAGAGTTGCAATAGGACACAGATGAAGATGTCGGAGTAGGAAGTGAAACATCCGAATGGCCGACAGCATGGCCTCCCGGATTCCAAGAGGCTCCCGATGAGCTGGCTGTGACAGATACGTTAACAGTGTCGACGTTTGCATTGGAAGAGGCCAGTGGCGAAGATGAGACGATGAGGTGAGTCCTCGTATCTTCAGCTTCCTGGCAAACGCTGGTCGCAACCAGAGGAGAAGAGGGTGAGCCGATCGCAACTGACCCGACTTCCAGGCTGCCTGAGGTCTCCAGAGCACCATATTCAGGAGGGATTAATTCACGTACGGCTAAAGTTGCAGCGCTAGCCGGTCGTTGTGGAGGCTAAAGGAAGAATTGATAAAAATGCAACATTCATATGAACTATTGACGCACTTATACCAAATCGTAAGTATTTAAGGCCTCAATGCATAAACTTAATTGGTATAAAAGTTGAAACGACAAAAAGGGCAATCACAAAATACTGGTTTGTCATTATAAAGCTCTTTTGCGTCTCTATTATTGTATTCTTTTAAGAAGTGTGTAGGGTAGTACAGTCAATTTAGTGCGAAAATCTCCTTGCCTCAACAAGCAGTGATGGTCATAGCTTCTAACTGAATAACAGAACAAGCTTAAAGTCAACAGAGCTGTAAAGACAACATTGAATTTCAAATTGTCCCCTTTAATTTATGGCTATATAAGAATAGGACGAATAAAACAATTACAATAAGCTTAAGGTGAATGACCAATTAGTATTAAGGGTAACGAAAGGAGGAGCAATAGTAGTTATGGATAGGACCGATTATGTAGCGAAAATGTTACCGAGAGTATAGGATGAAACAACATTTAAGATTATGATTAGGGACCCGACAGAAGGCTTTAAGGTATGAAAAAAACTGGGTTTCGAAGAATTCCTTAATGAAATGTTGTGGCAATACACTACATATCGAAGGGAAAGTTGGTTAGAAGGAATTCATGACGCAGTCTCACCGGAAACCGAAGGAGGATTGCCGCGTAGAGAAGGCTGTTGAATTGTGCGACCCCGATGAAACTGTGCTAAGCTTTCGTCTGTACCGTGACAGACATCATCAGAGCAAGAGTGCACAC